AAACGCAAGCTTCTCAGATTCAACTTCGTTTAGCACTAAAATAACCAGGTAAATTAAATTTTTATTATAAATTTAGCGAATTTTTCAATATGTTGAAAAACACTCGTAGGTATATCAGTATAAACTTATCTTTTATGGTAATTATGCAAAAAATAAATAAAAAAGTGTGCCCTTTAGCCGTTAATAAGTGTATTTTAATTAGCATATTATTTGTTTAATTTCTTTTTTACTTAATAAGACCCTTTCTTTCCTGATTCTACCATACCAAATTTGAAAGTATACATTAACGATAATTATCTTTTCCAATTTATTAGGGTCAGTTAACCAGTAATTGACCATCAACCAGTTATTGACCAATTTACCGATTAAATGATAAAAGCAAGGTCCCTGTATTACCTAATTAAAAACTTATATTATTTGCATAGTGTTTTACCCCTTAACTTCTAGATGGCACAGTTTTATTAATGATATCTGCTTACAAGGCATTGGTCAACCACTGGAAAATCATGAATTTTCGTGCATTAAATTTTTTTTCGTCGGCATAGAAACTCTTTTTCTTTTTTAGTCAGCTGTTATCAAATCTTAAAACAAAATTAAACTCAATGATATTTTTTATTTTATTTTAAACTAAAAATAGAGGAAAATATAATAATTTATTCACGAAAATTTCCTTAACTGGTCAATTACTGGTTAACTAACCCTATTTAAATGCAAATTTTGTAGGTTAATACAAAGTTTTTGTTTTCGTACAATAATAAACATTTATTTATTATATACCCATTATATAAGTAAACCTTATGTCGAAAAGAATTTCAGATTGTATTCCTTGTTGATCTGATAACCAAAGAAATGTCATACAATTTTGTGAAAATGGCTTGTTGCAACTTTCAAATATCTTAGCAATGCCTAACATTAAAAGATAGTAGTCCTAATAAAGCGCATTCCAATTAAATCGCTTCTAAAGAAATTTTACAAAAAATGTAGTTATACAAGACGTACAGATTTATAGAGGTCATATTTTACTGAAAAAAACTGTTAACTCAACACATAAAGGCGTTTTTATTGATAGGTATGTTTGATATCTATTTTTGGTATTAACTAGTTTAGTTAGACAATTAAGGATTTAAATTTATTTCAAAATTGTGTAGTTATTTATATACATAATATGTTAATTTATGTAATTAATTTTTTTGTAATATTTATTGGTATCTTTAAGTATTAAAGGGGACTAGAAGTTAAAACTTTTATTTACTTTATTACCTGTTTCAATTGTCAGTGAAGGTTTACATCCATTATTTAAAAACTTGTTAAGTTTCCTTAAAATGTTGTTTTTGTAAAAAAAAGCAATTAAATTGACATTGTAGTTATTTTGTCAAAAATAATTCGGGTCACAACTTTCCACGAACCACTTGCAAGTTTACCTACAACAAGTAGTTATATCAATTGGCAATATAATAAATCGATTTAAGGAATGCTGCTTTTTTATATATGCAGTTAATCGGAATCTTTTATTTTAAAAGAAATCGAAAGTGACCTGGAAAAATCACAGCATTTTTTTTATTATTACATATTAAAAAAAATATCAAATCAAAAAGTTTAAATTAATTTGTTTAATACATTACATAATATAAAATCCACTCACCGTTTTTGAAATATTTTTTTTAATTGTAGGTTGACTCTTTAGTTTATTCTGATTTTAATAAATTAAATTTAAGCATATGGGTCATTTTCAAGAAACACCCGCTTTCAGGAAAATGAAGATCAAAATTTTTTTTGCTTAAACTGACTTTTGGTTGGATTTTTATAAATATTTAGAGTTTTGTTTACTTACATTTAAGACAGGTAGTGCACTTTTTTTACGTTTTTTTCAGAAAAATCCACTGTGTTACCAATTTGAAATCTAAAATTTAATTCAATAAAAAAAGTTGTTATAAAAATAATTTGAAATAAAATGTACCTAGTTCACAAACTTTTGACTCCAATTTTTTATTTTATTTTTTATTAAAAATGGTATGCTTTTTTTAAATATGTATGTTTGTTAAGTTACTTTTTAAAAGAAACCATTCCTTGTTAAAAAAACAATACCATTAATATTTTCTTTTAGTCACTGAATTAGTGAGTTAAACTCTAATTTATAAACACTTATTACCAAGTGATAGTGTATCATTTTAAGTATTTTTTTTAACAAAAAAAGTAACGAAATAGACATTGGTATCACAACAAACTGGGGTACACAAAGGACTTAATCAGATAACGTAAACAAGAAACTATAAAGGGTGGTACGATTTTAGAGTAATGCATAAACAAAATCCCTTGTAGTGGTGCTCACTTGCAGAATAACAACTTAGATTTCCAAATTGTAGACATCCTTTTTCTTTGACTATAAGCTGGTGAAGGTCCCTTTTAGTACTTGTATATTGCGTGGAATTTTCCCTTGGATGTAATCTATATCATGAGTTGTAATCACAAATAATTTTAAATTGGTTTATCATAAATTACTTTTAATAAAAGCGACGGTAAATATCCACTTTGTTGTCGAAAAATTCTATTGCGTTACCCTAAATTCCATTGCGTTACCATAAGGTAACATAATGGACTCGGTAACGCAGTGGACAAAGTTTTGTGAAACCATATTTAAAAAATAATAATAAGACATTACAGTCATTACTCTCAATGAGCTTTAGTGCCTTAAAATAAACTTAAAACTTGAAAAATAGTATTTTTTCTTACCTTATTTTTATTATTTTTTTGAGTAACTTAGCGGACAAACAATTATTACATTCGCGTTACCCTCACCTGTTTCAACCGATATCTTCTTCCTGAGTGAATAAATAAATTCAGCTGGGTAATGTGTACGTCCGAACATCATTTGTTGATCACGTGAGTGCCAAAAAAGTTTCCATATATATGTTTTTTTAATATTCTATCGGTAACGCGACGGACGTAACGCAACGGAAAAAATGTCCGAGTCAAATTTAAAAAAAAGTAGTTTAAAATTAATTATTTTATATATAAATTGTTTACTGTATTAACTAAGGATGTTATGGATTGCTATAAAGCAACACAAAGTTCTGGTTATTCAATATTTAAAAAAAAAAAACATGTAAGTTTTATAAAACGCTAATGAGACATGCGAAAATGTGTGTTTCACAAGTTTCAAAATTTAAAAAAAATTATTCTTAAATAACTAAACAAACATTTTCTGAAAGAGTTTACTAAGGGCTTGTTAGGCTTTCACTTGGTTGTTAAATCAATAAGATTCGATAATTTTTAAAAAAGTTATTGGAATTTAAACGGACAGCGGAAGGCGGGTTTTTTTAAAACGACCCATATACAAGGTGCAAAAGTAAGAAGTTTTTTCCCGAATTTGTTAACACCCCGTGAAGTGCATCAGCAATGACAGATGTCAGTTAAATTCATACTGAATTCACATATTTCCTAAACATTTGTTTTATTTACTTTATTATCTCTTATTAACGACGATACACTGTTTTAAAGTCAACGTCTCGTATTAGACACAACGTTGACTTTGACCATCTTCAATTAATGCCACAATACATAAAATATCCGTCACATATAACGGGTCTTTTTTTATTTGAGAACCTTTGACAACTTTTAGTGTCGTATTTAAAAAGAATTGACCTCCGTTCCAGAGTATGTCGACATGACACATTTCTTTTTACATACTAAAACTTTACCCGATGCGTTTGCTTTAAAACAGTGCATCTTCGTTCATAACAAAAAAATTACCTGAACAAAAATATCTTTAGAAAAGAAAGGACTAAAATTTGATTTTAATTGACATCCGCTGTTATTGGTGATGCACCCCATAGGGTGTTACAAATTTCAGGAAAAAACTTCTTCTTCTTTTGCACCCTGTATATGCTACTATTAAAATCTAAATGAAATGCCTAACATAGCATCGTTACTGTCAAATCCATGATTGTTACCACAGGGGATCAGACCTGTGCGGTACTCGAGTACAAGTACTCAAAAACTGTACTCCAAGTACTTTCAGTGTACTCGGTACTCAGTCCCGAGTACTTTAATTTAAATGTACTTATACTTGTACTTGATACATTTAAGATTGCAAAAATGTACTCGAGTACTTTCCCGTGTACTCGAGTACATCCAAAGTATATTTTTATGCGGTGAGGTTGGCGTGGACACATGTGCAAATATGTGCGTGGATGTTGAAAATTTGGCAACACTGCTAAGACTTGTCAAATTACGGACATGCTGTCTGAGGCAGCCTCAGCCAGCCTGCCTCACACGACAGCCTTAAGACAGCCTCAATCAATAAATAAAAAGACACAGGAAAGAGCATTGAACAAAAGGTTTTTACTTATGTATGAAATGTAATTTTGTTTATATTTTGGTAGAAATAAGGTGACAATATTCCTCAAAAATATAATTAAAAAATAAAGCTAAGGCAAAGTAAAACAAGATACTAGCCGGTCTTGATAATTAACATAAAGCGAAATATCAATATTTGATGAAGGCAATAGGCCGGCTAGTAATTAGGTCTGCACCAGGGATTCTAAATTCATTTCTTAATCGCCCCATTTCTCTAGCATTTTTCCCAACATTTCATAACTAAAGTGTACTCGGTACATTGTACTTGTATGGGTACTCGAGTACAACGGTACTGTACTTGTACTTGGTACTCGAGTACTTTTATATAAGAGTACTTGTATTCAGTACTCGAGTACTTTTTTATTGTACTCGGAACAGCTCTGCAGGGGATCAACATAATTTCTAAAATATCTTAAATACAAAAATGGCTTAAAATTTAAATAATATGTTAAAATGTTTTACTAATAATATATTAATACACTTTAAATTTAAAACTACAACTGTTTTTATAATTTTTTTGACAATTTAAATTGTTTTTTGAATACATTTTATTATATCTCTACTTGGAAACATAAATGTATAGAATATCATTGTAAATATTCTTTTTAACCATATTAACGTTATCTGCGTCTCTTATTTTTCAGGCCGTCATAAAGAAATCGAAAGTGACCTGCAAATGCCACGGTGTGTCGGGATCCTGCTCCTTAATAACCTGCTGGCAGCAACTTGCAACCTTCAGGGAAATTGGTGAGTTACGCATTACGCGTTTTTGATTTATCTGAGCTGGTAATTAAGTTACTTAATCCAAGGCGATTACGTTCCCAAATAATTGGAATAATTGGAAGTACTGTGTTTTTTATTTTAATAAGGTGATTTACGTTGATTGTTAATCAAAAAATAACAATTTGTTAAAAGTAAAAATGGGTTGGGCCATTCTTTACAAAGTATATAAACAATCATTACTTTTTACCAAATAATTTAATGCTTTTCATATCATATAATTTCAAAATTTTTAGCTTACAAGCACTTAATAATTATAATATTTTTTATGTGCCTATATAAATATTATATTTTTTATATAGATCTTTAGAACGAATACAAAAAATATTGATAAAATAAATTTGGAATCCTAATTAATAAAGACCGATTTGTATGCAAAAATTTGTATGCAAGTTATGGCCATATAGCGCTTTAGTCACGGTCTGAAGTTAGTTTTAAGTTAGTTGACAGTTGTCAAATTTCATATAATCGTTAAAATAGTGCCTTTCTTGTAAAATAATACTAAATGTAAAAATAATTTTATTATCAATACAAAAATACAAAAGATTTATATAGTTTTTTGATGCCAATATTTGAAAAAAATATATATCAAAGTTTGTAAGGACATTTTGATTTCGCCGTAGTAGTGCAGTTAACTAGATTTAATTCAGTTTATCAGTTAAAAATTTTGCGTACAGTGCCCATAAAACATTCTCTTCTCTTTTACTGTAAAAAGCTGCTTCCATATTGATTTTTGGTCTATTTTCAAGGGATAAATCTTGATTTACATAAAAAGATTAGAGATTTTAACGCCGATAGAAATTTTAACGGGAATTCCAATAAATACAACTGTTACTTTTTGTACCTTTAATATTTCCTGTGTAAGAATTTTTAAAACTTTGTGATAATATTTTGCAATTATGAAAACAAAAAAATCAAAGGATAAAATATGTTCTTAACATAGGTAATCATATTTTGAAGTTATTTTAATATTTTAAAGTATATATACATTAGGGTGAGCCAAAAAAACTAACCTATCGGATTTATGGGTTAAAATGAACCTACATACCGAGCAAAAAATTTCCCTGCAAGGAAAAATTTTTTGCTCAATTTTAAAAGGTGTCGGTGAGCATTCTAAGTTTTCCATTGAAATAACACGTAAAAAAATTTTTTTTCATTAAAAAGACTATAACTTTTGAACCGTTTGAGATAAAATTTTTTACGTCGCGGATTCTTGTAGAGCATAAAATTTCCCAAAGAATCTATACTAGGATTTTTTTTTAATTCAAAAATTCGTATGTTTGAAAGCTTTGAAAAGTGTAAAAAATCACTAAAACTGCAGTTTTTTACACTTTTCAAAGCTTTCAAACATACGAATTTTTGAATTAAAAAAAAAATCCTGGTATAGATTCTTTGGGAAATTTTATGCTCTACAAGAATCCGCGACGTAAAAATTTTTATTTCAAACGGTTCAAAAGTTATAGTCTTTTTAATGAAAAAAGATTTTTTTACGTGTTATTTCAATGGAAAACTTAGAATGCTCACCGACACCTTTTAAAATTGAGCAAAAAATTTTTCCTTGCAGGGAATTTTTTTGCTCGGTATGTAGGTTCATTTTAACCCATAAATCCGATAGGTTAGTTTTTTTGGCTCACCCTAATATACATATATAAAAAAATTTAAGAGTTTAGAAATTTAATATAATTTAATAAGAATAATAAGAATCTATTTAGTAAAAACAAATATATTTTACAATTTTTATAATTAAAAATTTATAATTTTAATATTTTTTCCTTAATTTTTTTGTAATTTTTTTAAAATAAATGCAAGGAAAAAGTACTATTTAGTATTTAGTACAAGTTAACGATTTTTTTCTATATAAACTTAAAAATTAGAAAAAATACATAATACTGCTTTTTATAATAATAAATAACGTTTATTTAGCAGAAGCTATAAAATTACAACACAAATAAATTCATATGCATATAAAAAACAAAATAAACGTTAGGTAAATAACAATTTTTTTTCTATTATATTTGTACATTTAATCTCTATTAAATACTTAATTCGTTAATGTGTTTTAACAAAGTTTTTTTAAACATTTTGAGGCCGTCACATTCCTTTACATTTCGAGGTAGTTTGTTAAATTGGACTAAGCCTTTTAAAAAAACAGATTGACTCATTTGAGCGGTACGACAAAACTTAATATTAAAATTATTACAATTTCTAGTATTGTATGGGTTAGACACATACTCTAATTTGTTATACAGGTACTCGGGTAATATTTTATTTTTAACTTTATATATAAATAAAATTGAATTAAAAAATATCCTTTTTTGTATTGACATTAGATCTAAAACACTTAACATTAAATTAATGGGTGTATATCTAATACTAAATAAGATGGTTCTCATACAGCGATTTTGAATGTATTGCATTTCCTGTATTCTATAAGAGGGTAAACTAAATAATATTGTTGAACAATAATCAATGTGAGGTACAATTATGGACTTATATAAAAGGAGCTTTGTATGTAGGGTTAAGTTTTTACTAATTCTTCTTAAAAAGAAAGCTTTTTTGGACATTTTGTTCATTACTTGTAGTGAATTACTCTGAAAATTTAGATGTTGGTCTAAAATTACACCTAAATATTTTATTAGTTTTAGATATATTAGATCTACTGCCAAATAAAATACATTTTTCTTTACAATAATTAAGAAAATATATTTTCTTTACACAAAAAAGTAATTTTTTTTAATTTAGCACATATTCCTATAACTTTGGGGAAAATTACTTAAAACCTAAGCACTGATTAGGTACTTTATTTGTAAAACCAGAACATATTTTATAATATTATTACGCCTATATGATAACCATTACTACACAATTGACCAACTATTAATATGAAGTAAATAATGTATTGCTTTTTTTAATTTAGAATATATTCAAGTTATTTTAAAACTGTTCACAATATGTTATTAAATATGTTGTATTCAATGCTAAAAGTTTGGGAATGATTACCAAACAGTGTTTGGCAAACACTATTAAAAGCAACTCCCCAATATTTTTCTATGTATTCGGCTATGCATTTATGCTTTATGTCATTTTATCACATTTATTCTTTGTGCCCATGTTATTAAATTTTGTATTTGGTAAGTTTAAAATAGTTATTAGGTATTTCTATTAAACTTAAGTTAACGCAAGTGTAAAAAAAAACGAATCTCAGCGTACAATCTAATTATTCGTACCTACTCTTTATTTTTGTTGCTGTTTTGTCTGTCATACTTTTCTAGTATTTTTTAATTTTAAGTAAAACACAGTTTTTTTTAGTTAGTTTTGTAATTACTACTTTTCTTCCAGTCAAGGAATAGTTGCCAAACAGCACTTGTATGCTAAATATATGAGTTTGGAAATCATTACTAGATACACACAAAAGCGCTTACTCCTGAAATATAAAGGCTGTCCTCAATTTGCTGAACTCCCAGTATACGAAATTTTTTATTGGTAATTGTATTTCCTTATAAACAAAATTGGGTTAATTCACATGCATTTTACCAAACCAAACACCAAATATTGACCAAAGTGTTTAAGAGTAGACGCATAAAATTAACGTGGTGGTGATAATTCGTTTTAAATGGTCCATGTTGAAATAGGCACACACGCTAATACTAATTTGAGAGTTAATAGTTATTATACCCTTTACCGAATCATTAGCATTCAGTGTAAATGCATTCACATGTGCGTACGAAAGCTTTTTTTAAATTAATTCCACATTACATTCCTACGCCTTTCGATTTAAATGAACATAAATTATTTAGATGAACATACGTTTTATAATTGTGCACAATGCCTACACCTAGATAAAAATAAAAATAAATAAATCGATTGTGTTTTAAATATATGCTGTTTTGTGTTTTTACAACCTGTAAGGCATACATTTTATATTTACTTTGTATTTTAAATCAGTGACAACAAATATTAAAACAAAATTAATCACTTACCTTAGGTGTTTTACAGGGTACAGAAAGTTAATTTAAGTATTAAAAATATTTTTTTTGTAACCAGTACTTTTATGTTTAGATTTAATTTGTTTTGGGATATTAAAGCACGTTAAAAATAAAAAATGCGACTTGCTTTCACTTTAAGCAAGGACAATTACTAGGACTTAGTTTTATAGTACTTAATTGGAAAAATCAAAGAAATCAATTAGAGGAAAAAGTAATTATTAAAATACTTAAAGCATGTCAAGTTTCTAAATCATTAAGCGTATTTTTAAACATTTTTCCAAGCCCCAACATCCTTTAAAATTTTAATTAATAAATAAATCAAACAATACATTGTACCAGTATTTACACTGCCATGGGCTTTCCTCTACAAACAATGTAAAAACAGTTTTTCGAAGATCTAAGTAAAAGTAAAAACTGAGAAATTCCTTTACATTTTATTTACCGTCATGCAATAATTATAACCATTAATTCTTGGTAATTAATGAGGCAGCTAGGCATGTCTTACTCAGTTGTCACTTGGAACAGAGCGGTTAACAATTAGGTGCAGTTATATGTGGAATCGCTTAGTCTACCGGAATAATTTTAATTAATTGAATTTACTTTGAAGAATTTTAATACTTCCATGTTGAGTCGACTACAAAATTAGCAAACCGAAAAAAAGTTCAAAATGCTTCTTTTGAAGGTACTGGAGTGGAAAAAGTGATAAGAAAATTGGTTTAAACGTATAAAAAAGTGTTGATTTGATGAAGAATATTTGAAGGGGTCAATGCAGAAGAGTGTTTTACGTAAGGTTTCAGGTTGTATTTTCAAAGTGGCAGAAATATGTGCCCAAGTACCTTAGTTTGCATTTACTTCAATCTGAGTTTGCCTGGTTTTCAACTTACGTGAAAACTCTTAGATGAAGCCACAATAACAATTTAATTGAAAATGTGACTTAGGCACTTTTTGCATTGATCCCTTCATTTTGAAAAACAATAAAAT